AGAAATGGTGATCAGAAAAGTTAAGTAAAAGTGGACAGTTAATGACCTAGAGTCAAGGTTGCAGTCTAGACTGGACCAGACAGTGAAAATTTTATAAACTATTTGTAGATAGAGGTTTTAATCAACTAAATTGTTAGTCAGAACTCATACAAAAAAGAAAAACAGCTGGCCTTCTGAGACTGTGGATTCTACATGTACGCATTCAGCCAACAATGGATCAAAGGTATTCTGGAAGAGAAAACTGAATATGTATGGACTTTCGTTCTTGTCATTATTCCCCAAACGATCCCTTGTAGTGAGTATTTACATAGCATTTACATTGTATTCATTGTTATAAGTAATCTAGAGATGATTTGAAGTACACAGGAGGGTGTGCTAGATAGAGTATGTGCCAGCTCTAGGCAGTGCTGCAGTAGGTGTTGAGCACCTTTGGGTTTGGGTACCAAGGGGTGTTGTGTAATTGGCTCCTCTTGATACAGAAGGATGATTTGGGGTTTTGGGGGTTTTTTGGTTTTTTTGTACTTAGGACAGGGTCTGCAGGGCCTCACTATGTAGATGCGACTCATAGTGATTCTCCTGTTTTCAGCCTCCCAAGTGCTGAGATTATAGGCACGTGCTGCCACCCCCGGTCTCATTCGTCTCTATTGCCATCTCAGCGTGCCCCGGGGCTGGGGTCAGCACAGCACACCAGGGTGTTTGATTAATATTAAGCAGTAGTTGCCAAATGGAGATAGTTTTCTTGCAAGGTGACATTTGCCAGTGTTGGGAGACATTTTTGATTGTTGCAATTAGAGGGGTGGTGCTGAGACGTAATGGGTAGAAGCTAGGAATGTGGCTGAACAAGTCATGGAGCAGCAGAATCTCTGTCTGTCTCTGTCTGTCTCTGTCTCTGTCTCTCTCTCTCTCTCTCTCTCTCTCTCTCTCTCTCTCACACACACACACACACACACACACACACACACTCCAAAGTGTTAACAGTAAAAAATCGTGTTATAAACCCTATGTATAGAACTTTTGATTCCTCTAAAAGAGCGACAGAGTTATTCCAGTGCACACAGGCATCTGAAGTAGGAATATTGTAAGCCTCAGCATTTGGCTCTGCTCTGGTCTATGTGTATAATGTTGAGAAAATCTTGATGTGCAGACATTAATGTTGCAAATGGAAAGACTTGTTTTGTTTAACAGTGTCATACTGCAGTGTCTGAGCTAATATTGAGTGTGGGATGCACAAAACCTAACCTGGTATTGTGTACCACACACATCTCCATGTCTTGATGTTGGTACGGGCTCATTTGTGGGTATTTACTGATAAAGTTTTTATTATGCTTTGAAAGATATGACACAAACCTTTGCAAATACTTCTCAAAATTTATTTAGTATTTGGAAAACTACATCTCCTGGGCATGATGTGTTCTCTAATAAATAAGATATACCAGGCTAGAGAAAATAGTAAGTACAATTTCATGAGTGGCCAGAGATTAAAGTCTGTTGTCTTCGGGGCCAGCCACATAGCTCAGCGTACTAAAGTGCCTGCTTAGGCAGAGCACAAGGGCTGGGGCTCGATCCCCAGCATACCGTGCCGGCCCCATCCACGGGGCCCCCTGAGACAGCAGTTGGGACTGGGTGTTGTGGCATGTGCCTGTAATCCCAGCACTTGGGAGGCTGAAAAGAGAATCACTAGTTCAGTCTATGTAGTGAGACCCTGTAGATCCTGCCCTAAATACATAAAAAGAAAGTCTGTTGTCTTTGCAGGGACTCAAGTATGACTGCTACCATTCCCAATACCTGTTTTTATCAAAGGAAGTACTTTCTTTAAAAGCCTGTAAAAGCTGTAGCCTTGTCTTGATTCCTTTCCCTCCCCTCCCTACAGTGTTTCTATTCACATTATTTTCCCTTTATATACACTATGTTAAGACTGATCATAGTAGCATATATCCTCAAAAACATACAAAATTTTTTTTTTAATCTTGTATTTATTTGGTACAGGGCCTGCTACGCCACTCATTCTCGTAGTGATCCTCTCAGCCTCCCCAGCACTGGGATCACAGGCGTGCGCCACCATGGCTGGTTTCAGTGGCCAGCTTGGTGTAGGGTCAGCACAGCATTGCAGGACTAGGGATCAAACCTGGGTCCTTGTGCTTGACAGGCAGGCGCTTAGACTACCGAGCTATCTCCTGGGATCACAAAATATTTTTTAAATAATGGAAAACAAATCACCACTCTTAACATCATGTCAGTCTTTTTACAAGTTTTTTTTTTAATGGGACATAGCATGTGGAATGCTACTTTAGAATAGCTTGTTACATTTTTTCAGAAAACCCCATTCTTAGTAGCTGTGCTCAGTCACCAGCCACAGGAGACTCCATCCGCTAGACATGGAACAATTATATTAAATCAGAAATTTATGCAACTGCTTGCTTTCTGGTGGGCATTTACATATTCAAACTTGAATAAAATTTGGGGTGTTGGTGTTTCCTTCTGTTTAATTGTTTTGTTTCGCATTTGGTTTTTCTTGCTGCGTTGTTCAGCATCACTTTTCAGTTAGATAGCGCAGGCTGGCCTTGAACTCATAGTGACCCTCCTGCCTCGGCCTCCTAAGTGTTGTGATTGTAAGCACGCACTGCTGCCACCGCAGCCAGCTGAAATGTTTTGGGCTTTTTTGTTGTTGTTGTTGTTTTGTTTTGTTTATTTCATTGAGAAAAAAATACCAATGAGACAGTTTCAAAACGTGTTAGTAGGACAGTTACAATAATTAATACATTGCACATTGTTGTCTTTGTAGTAGTTATTCAGAGTACAGGATGCAGACATGATACCTTGTCTAAACACTAATAGTACAAATCTCACTGAACTAAGAGAAAGTAGCTGTATATCTATCCTATTTTGTATATGAAGATATATTTTTTTTTCACTACAAAATGGTCCTTCATTTATAGAACCTCTTGTTTTTTTTAAAATAAATTACTTGGCTTAAAAGTTGCTTAGTCTAGATAACTTTCTTCCAAACTCTGAAAAGTTATTTAAAATTTCTAGTATCTTTGCTAACAGCAGTCAATATTTTGGTGTATTTCCTTTCAGACCTTTTCTTTCTGTGAGTCTGTATGTAAATGTGATTTTGTGTGGGTGTATTTTGAATTAGTTGAGATTATAGTGCTCTGCATATATTTCACGTTGTTTTGTTTTCAGTAAAAGGGTGTCTCCTACATTTAGGACCTCATGCATACTGAGCAGGCAGTAGCACTAAGCTGAGCCACCTCTGAACAGCTGCTTAATGACAGCTGTTAGCATTGTAATTCACGGAATGAGTGAAGATTAACAAACTGAACTAGAAGATGGACTACTTCTAACTGTTGCTACAGTGGATATGTTCATACACATCTGTGTTTTTCTATAAATGGAATTATTGAACTAAAGGGTTCAGTGTGTAATGCTTTGAATACTTTTTAAAAAAATCAATATGCTATAAAAGAAAATCACATTTAGCCTCACAGGCGGCACATAAAAATAAATAACCCACTATGATGTACAGTGGGTGGACCTACTTTACTACACCTCACCTGTTTGGGTGTTAGAATATAATTCTTTTCATTTGATAGCTGGAAAGCAGTATTTCTGATTTCCCTTAATATCTCCCTCTATTTTTATTGTCTTTTGTAAATTATCCATTCATGTTCAATAGGTCTTTTCTATTATCTTTTTCCTTGACATAATAAGACTGTTGGCGCTAACCTAGATGGAAAATGATTATCAGTTTTCTGATAATTTTGTAATTGTTCTGTTTTAATATGGTAGACTTTTTCAGACTTTTATGTAGCAGCTTCTCAGCGTTCATTGCATTTTTAGGGTTAGATGCCTTACCTATCCCAAGATTCAATAAATAACTGCCTGAATATTTACATTTAGAACTTTTTAAGATGTATGCAATTTATTAGGATATATTAGAGTTACGGAAATATTTTTTTCCAGTTGTGATAGCAACATTGTGTTTAACAGATTGAAAGTCCTGATTATAGTGCACAGTGTTAAAGGATCATAGTGACGGCACACGTAGTCCTCATGTAATAGTGACCATCATGTCTGCTTGTCTTTCCTAGATCTCTGTACCTTAGTTAGAAGATGCCCCAACCTTGTCCATCTAGACTTAAGGTAATTTTTTAATTGTTTTAGATTTAAAAGTTGAAAAGTCTTGATTGCTCATTAAATGGTGAAAGCATCTTAATGTTGAGTTGGAGAGACTGAGGAGTAGTATTCTGGTGGGTAGTTCCGAGCACCTTTTCTTCTGCTCTGTTACAGTGATAGTATCATGCTGAAGAATGACTGCTTTCCAGAGTTTTTCCACCTCAACTACCTCCAACACTTATCACTCAGTCGGTGCTACGATATAATACCTGAAACGCTACTGTAAGTATATTTTGCCTGTATTGCTAGCAGAAGGCAGGGACCAAAAGACATGCCGCTTAATATTAAAATTCAGTATTATTAGTAGCAGACAATGAGAGTATGTACATTATTAATCTTACATCTTATTAATCTTAATCAAAAACTGGTTAGGAAAGATCTGCAAGAGAGAAAAAACAGAACAGTTTTTTTGTTGAAAGTGTCTGGCAAAAAGTAAGTTAACCGATTGCTCACTCCGTATTTATCATCTTGCTGTGCATATTTTTAAAGTAGTAGAATGCCACACCAGGCTAACACCTGCGGAACACTTCCAGGAGGAGTACAAGATAGCTTTCGGGGCACTCGGTGTATCATCAGGAAGGCAATCCAATGGGAATGATTATTACAGTTTTATTTTCCAGATTTGCAAATTAGCTGTAGTTGAATCCAAAAAAGTCTTTATCTGGGCTTGCAGGACAAGTTCTGTAATCTAGTGATGTTTGTCCTGTTTGCTCAAGAAACGTGAAGAATCAGGACACATAGCTGATGCATACTCTAAGAGTCAAATACACTCTGAACAGGAAATATTAAGGCCCACAAAAATGAAGGGGCGTATCCCAGATAGCATGGTGTGTTACTGGCCAACCAAAGGCTAGCTCCAGGTTTTCCTGGACAGATGCAGAAGTCTGTATCTAATTGCGGGGTTCATCTGAGTTTCATTTTACCTGCTCAACAACTTCCACAGTATTCGAGGGATACAAAGGAAAAACGTCTAACCCGGCCTTATTTTTAAGAAGGTATCTTCCCCTCCCCTCCCCTCCCCTCCCCTTCCTTGTTTTTGCCATACCAGGAATCAAACTCTTGACCATACACTTGCCAGACAGGTGCTTATGCCTCTTAGCTATATCCTTAGCCCAAGAAGGGCATCCTGAGAATAATAGCATCTCTTTTGTTTTGTAAGATGATTCCTTTATTTCACCCCAAAGAGCCCTGGAGTCTTGCTACTTCTGCATGTTGGTCTGTAGCAATTTCATGGGAAACCACAAGAGGTCAGTATTTTGCACTTGGTCACATGCCCTCTCTCCTAATGGCCAGCATTCCGGAATGAACCTGATACTCACTGAGCTCACTATCTTAATGCCAGGAGTTGAAGTTCAGCCTGCCATCTAAGAAAGCTTTGAAAAAAGAATGTACTTAGTTCCCAAGTTAATGAATTGGGTCTTATGAATTAGCTTCAACAATGAATAAAGCAGATACTTTAGCTATACAAAGTTAACTAGCAGAATTGGGGATGTGGTAAATACATGTTTAAATTAATCATTTTCAACTCAGAGCTCAGCCTGAGCTAATACCCTATTTGGAGAAGCTCTGCCTAAATAGGATACTCATGTTTATTCGTGTGGCTCTCAAATGTTGGGATCTAAACTGACATATACGGAACTCTTACTAATATTCCTATTTTCTGGCATCGGAATTCATAGGATCCGCTAGTACTTCTCTGTCATCTGCTGTTTCCTGTCTCTGCCATCAGGCTCCTGCTTTGCCTGGGCAGTTTCTTTGGGAAGGTTGTGTCCCCTCGATCACTTTGCCAGTGCTGAGACACAGTGCCTGACATTTACAACTTAAAGGAGGAAACATTTCTTTTGTCTCACTCTTTAGTCCAGTTAGCTGACTCCAAAGCAGGAAGGGGTGGTGAAAGGGTCGGGCAGTTGGGAAGCAGAGTGAAGGGAGGAGCCAGGAAGGAAGGGAGGCTTCCAGGTCATGCCCCAGTGAATGTTCTTTCAGCTCAGCCTCACCTTCCAGCAGCAAGTCCGCCATGAAGTCCACGTCGCGCCTGCACAATCCAGACACCTTACAAACACACATGACTTTGGGGATCATTTAAATCTCAATCAGTCTGTTGACTGAGAATTCTTTTCTAATGAGAATATATCCAAGTGTTTTGCTTTTTCTTCTTCATGCAGAAAGAAAGAAGCAAAGTGGGCGATAAGCCAAGTCCCTTCCCTTAAGCTGAGATGAGGGGAAATTTTTGAACTCTCACATTTTAATACTTCATATCCAGTGGTATAACAGTAAAACCTGCGTCCTTGCAGGAAGTTGAGAGCTTGGGCCTGAAGTCACAGACCTAGGTATGAACTTGCTTTTTTTTTTTTTTTTTTTTGAGCAGAATATATTTATTGAAGGAAAGAAAGCTCCTGTCCGAGAGAGGGACAGGTGGGGGGCCCGAGCGGGTTGTCCCCCTGAACTTTGATTATTACTTCTTTGTCTAAATCTAATCTTGGAAAAAGACAGGGTTTCAATGACTTAAGTGTAGTCTAGGTCAACAGCAATACATATTGAGGAAAAGAAAAAGATATTCTTTAATCTTAGAGTAAAAGAGGGGCTGGGGATTTGGCTCAGCAGTAGAATGCTTGCCTACCAAGCTGGAAGCCCTGAGTTTCAGTCCTTGGCACCAAAAACAAAAAATAAACCTACCCTAAAAAACAATTCAATCAAAAAAAAAAACCAGTAATATTAAAAAAAGAGACCAAAAACAAACAAGGCAACTGCAATTAAAGTAAAAGAATGTTTCTTTATGTACCACAAACATAGTATGATTTATACTCTACATCCTTTAAGATAAGCTTGTTGGTACCCTTTCCTGGAATTTCCTAAAGTAAAATGCCTTCTGCTGTAATTCAATCATTCTGGCAGATGTTGTACTTGAAATTCATAATAAAAGTTCCAGGGTTTGATCCCTGGTACCACATGCTGCACCGAGCTGGCGATGGAGTCCAGGCATGGTGGCACATGCCTGTAATCCCAGCACTAGGGAGGCTGGAAACAGCAGGATCACTACGTCCACTGCATAGTGAGACCCCGCACCAAAAAAAAAAAAAGTTCAGGGTGTCTCATTTCAAGAGAGATGGTCATCCAAGCTAAAGAAGTGAAGGCTACTTTTTTCTTATTTCTGAAATTGGCAGATTCAATTTGAAGTGTTCTGTAATAATAATCTTTTATAATTATATAACTAGACCCCCCAAAGTATCCCATTATATTTCTTTCCTTATCCTTAATTGATCCTATATTTTATGTAGAAGCTTTGTTATATTCCTATTTCTTATTCAAGTGAGAAACCCAAGCTAGAGAGTTTGCTGATCTAAGATTAGGAGGCATAAATTTCTGTTAAGAGAATTTGTAGTGGCGGCATTTCACATTTTATGCAAAGGAATAAAGAGGAGATAAGAAATAAACCTGTGAGTTTACTAAATTGAACACGTATCAAAGCATCATATTAGAATGACTTACATGCTTCATTTCTATTTACTGTTCCTTTGTTTGGTTTCCTTCTCTTCTACTGTAATGTCAAAGAGAGTCTTACAAATTTGTTTTTATGATAATAAACAAAACAGGAGGCAGTCTTTTGTTTTTTTCTTAAAATTTTAAAGACTTCCGTTCTTTGACTGGTAGCCCGTCTTACGTGTGTCCCTTCCCATACAACTCGAGTGTACTGTGATTTCCTTGCGTACCTAAAGTTCTTCCTGTATGAACATTTCCTTTTCTGCCATCTGCCATCCTTCCTCTTTTTCTTACTACCACCTACTGTTTCTTGCTTTAAATATTATCCACTGCAGAATGACTCAGTTTATCTGCCTTGGATATCCCAGAACCAGAATTGTCACAGGTTTTGCAAAGACTCATATATTAGGATGCTGTCATCTTCAGTAGTGACAAGTATAAACATCTACGGATTGGGACCTTTTAGATTTTGTTGTTACAGAGCAGAATTTACTTTGAGATTAGCAGGCTGTTCTACGTGATTTTTCTTTTGAACAAGTATACTTATTTTACTTAATATCTCTATTTCTAAATTCCCCTTCATCTTTTATTCCATTAACATACATTACACATTTAGTGCTTAAGACATTTTGCAGAATATAGAACAAATACATTTAGAAGGGTAAGGGGAAAACTAGAAGAACAAGTTCATCTGATTGGTCTTAAGGCCTATGAGGCTTTGTTCTATAACACAGAACTCGGTGGTTCCCAAGCAGGTGAGTGCTGTACTCTGAGCAGTGCTTTAGGAGGATGCCTCAAACATTGGTGTATAGAATGGGCTGGAGCGAAGAGCAGAGGACAAGTGACAGCGTAATAACACAAGTCTGACTAATGATGACAATGTAAAATAAAGGATGCTTCTAATACTAGGTCATTGATGTGCCCATTATTCTACAGTGGGAGTCCTTTGAAATTCCAAAGTAAATGTTCCTTTTCCTGAAACTTTGTACTGTTTCCCAACCTGGGGCGAATACAGATCAGAGACAAGTGAATCTCTAGGCACATAGATCTGTGTTTTAAAAAAATCACTATGTAAACCAAACAGTATTTGCTTTGGGTAAATAAGCTTGTCTTTTGTGAAATACCTAAGGACTATCCTGCCTCTGATATGAAAAAATGGTAATGTCAGAGGTAAAGAGTTGCTGCCTCCTACACATAAAGGGATGTGTTAGCACCCCTTTTCCCCATCTGTCCCAACTATGTAACTGTCTACAATATCTTAAAGAGCTGGTGTGGCTCTTCACTCACATGGACTGTGGGTTGTGAACTATGACTTAAGAAGTCATCACCCCTGCTGATAGGTCCTTTTTAGAGGCGGAGCCTACTTCAACTAAAGTTATATCCACTCCTTAAATTTCTGTAACTTGTGGTAGTTGCAGTTGATGAAACAGTAAAACTTTTTATTTCCACAGTCACTAACTTGCTAGCTCACAGCACAGGAATCCCTTTTAGATCACTGTGTAAACTAGAAATGGAGAAACAAATATAACTGGATTTTATTCTTCAACCTCAGAGAACAGTACAGTCATAAGGGTCTCATTCGACAAAACACATGTGTTTCCTTAGGCCACCTGGGTCAAGCTGCAAGGCCTGCACTTCCCAGCTTGGTTCACTTCTACTCCTTCAAGTCATTTCTTGCAGATTACGTTTTTAGATTGCATTTTGTAGACTGTAATACAAATTCTAACAATTAGGTTATGTATCTCGAGTCAGTTTTCATAGGTACCTCTCCTCTGAAAAGCTCTTTCTTCCTTTCCAGTGAACTTGGAGAAATCCCTACACTAAAAACACTACAAGTTTTTGGAATCGTGCCTGATGGTACCCTTCAACTATTAAGGGAAGCTCTTCCTCATCTGCAGATCAACTGCTCCTATTTCACCACGATTGCCAGGCCAACTGTTGGCAACAAAAAGAACCAGGAGATGTGGGGCATCAAATGCCGCCTGACCATGCAAAAGCCCAGCTGTCTATGAAATACTTACTGCAGGAAAGGGGGAAATGGAGGAAGCCCAACTGCTGGACATTCGGCTAGTTTTATCACTGATTTTTCTTTAGCCTTCATCCTGCAAGTATTTCAGGGAAGTGTTTGAAAGAGAAAACTATGAAGTATTTCTTTTTAAAAATGACTTTAAAACTTCTTTCAATGCTGGGCCCTTAAGAGCCTTCGGAGATTTTAGGAGTATGAACCTATAATTTCCAGGTAACTTTTTAAAGATCAGAATTTGAACCACCTTTTAAGTGCCCTGTTGATTAAATCTATTTTGAATCAAGCTTAAAAAGTGACCACAGGCTAATAGTTGTCACAGCCTATGTGTAACTTTTATGCATTTAATTTTCCAGTATTGTTTTATAAGACATGGCTTAAAGAAACTATGTTTGTACTGTGAGCTCAACAGAGTCACAGAATAGCATCTGAATCTGGGGGTTAATGCATTTCAGTTTAAAATTAGTTCATTTAAAATTAGTTTATCAGAAAACCTAATGTAACTCATCACAATGCCTCAGTAAAAAGAAGCAAATTTAAAGGTGCTCAGAGGTTTAAAATTGGCATAGGATTTGAAAGCTCAGGAGGCAATTTTCTATGCCAGGTTAATCTGAAGAATCTTTTACTGTTCATTAATGTACTGTGTTCTCAGAATCTTGAATTAGGTAAAGAAATGTGGTTTTCTAACTTTATAATCAAATTATGTTATGAGTTGTTTAGCTTTTAAAACTTGCTTGCTCTTAGGAAGAATATTACTGTAATCAGTCTTGTTGAAAAGTTGGATGAAGAATTCTGAGCTGATACTGCCTGTTTTCCTTTAGTGCTGGGGTTATTTTTTATATTACTCTGGAATCAAGTATTTTAAATTGTCTTTTTTAATGGTATCTCCACATAATTGTTTGAAACTACCCACTTTGTAAGGTCACTGGACCTATGAACAGCTCGTTCCTTTAAATCAGAAATGACAAGCAGCAGGTGTTCCTGCGGTGCAGCTGCGCACTCCTCACGCCTCCATCCTATAGAAGAGTTCAGAGTCACTGAGACTTTTGATGGCACCAGCGATTTTCTGTAAAAACCTAGGACACTGAAGTATAAGATTAAATGGTTTTTAAAAAATCACCCAAAAATAAATAAACCTAGTGTTAAGTTGATGACCTATTTTCACAATGCAACAGAAAATCAAAAACCCATCTTTTCTACTAACCACTTAAGTTTACCCCGAGCATGCACTCGGCAGCATTGTTTACATTCTGTTCCAAGTTTCACTCACAAGTCGTATTGAATACATTTGATAAAATTGTCGCTTTTGTATTTCCTGTTAATTATCTTACGTAAATTAATGAAAAAAAATGCAATTTGTGGTCATTCTATATTTAAATAGACTGATAGTTGGTTAACTTTATTTTTTAAAGTCTAAAATTTTAAAGGTCAAAATATGGTAATAAATGAAGTGCCCTTATTTGCATAGACCTAAGAAAGACTAGTGTTATACAGGAAATGATTATGCTTCACTTTCTTAGTTAGAAAGTGCTAAATACTACTTGAAATTATTGTTTACAGATTAGTGATAAGGGCTGGTGACAGGATCCAGCTGGACTCCGATCTCCAGGTGCCTTCACAAATAGTGCCTATATTTCCAAACACAGTTCCAACCATAAGCTATTTTTCCAACATGTCAACAAAAATAATCTGTATTTTTGTATGTGATTTCTACTTTTATAGACTTGTTTTAAAATAAAAGACATCTTTGTAAGAATGAGTTGAGCTAAGTTGTATCCCTTTTTTCCTTTTAAGTACATCATTAAATGTAGCAGTTGTTGGGGCTGCCATTTGGCTCAGTAGCCTCTAAAGCCCTATATAACAGCCCTAAACAACACATCTACTTCATGTGCTTATTGTCAGATTCAAATGATGGTTTATAATGCATGTTTAAAAGGTGCTAAATATTGGCTGTTTGTCTTTAAAGTGCTTCCAGATGTCATGGCATTTATAAAACATTTGAATTTGAGTGATTAATGTGATAGTGAATTACTGTCAATAAAAGCAAACTAGTAAAAATTTACATACAGGCTCAATTGGTTTATGCTACATAGTTCGTGATTCGATTTTGTTTTTGTTTTTGTTTTTTTTTTATGCCTGGACACCTTTTAGGAGTTCAGTTCCTTTTGAAGCCAACCATTCAAATAATGCCATAGTGACTGTTGCATATCATCCAGTTTCAGTGATCCTTTTACTTTTTCTCCTGTGCCTTTTTGTGGATGATGAAAATATCAAATATTTGAAGTAAAGATTATGATGAACGCCATCCATTTTTGGCAGTCATTAACTCCTGTCTAATCTCACCATAATCTCAACCATCCTCTCCCTGACACACACACTTTTCTTTCTCATAGATCATTTTAAAACAATATTAAGACCTGTAATAGCTAAGTGTGTGACTTCTGTACTTTTAAAAGGCTTCATTCTTCTGATTTAAGTCCAAGTCTTAAGAATATCAGGCAGTGGCCCGGCCTGATAGCTCAGAGGACTAAAGGACCTGCTCAGGCAGAACGTGGGCGCGGGGCCACACCATCGTAGCCTGTGGTGTCCCCCACGACCCCCCCCCCAGCGCTTAGAGACCGCGAGGCACACTCTTGTAATCCCATCACTTGGGAGGCTGTAAACAGGAGTCACTACGCGTCTGATCTATGTAGTGAGACCCTGAACACCCTGTAGACCCTATCCTAAATACAAGAAAAAAAAAAGTATCACATAGTATTGAAGATTCCTTAGACCTCTCCAGTGTTTTCATACATGGGTTTGACTAGGCTCTTAACATGATTCACATGTTGCGTTTCAGTGATAGCTGTAGAATTTAACATTTACCGCCCCTTTTTCCTTCCAGTGTGTTCATCAATGAAACTACCATTTGCCCTTTATTTATAGATGTTTTGGTATTATCTCTGGCATGGTGCTTAACAGGTTAATCTGCCAATTTTCATAAGCTGGTGGTTAGATCTGGCTTGTCAAGATCTAGACAAAAGGTGATTTTTGCACCCTTGGAGATACTTGTTATATGACATATTAAAAGGTATATAACATGGAGCTGGCAGGGTGGCCCACACCTGTCATCTTAGCACTCGACAGGCTGACGCAGGATTGTTGTGCGTTAAGAGCCTATCCTGGGGGGCTGTCAACAAAGCTCAGTGGTCTAAAGTGCCGGATTAGGCAAGCATGCATGGACCAGTGCTTAATCCCCAGCACCACATGCCACTCCAGCCCTGCCCCCAGGATAGGCTGAGCCAGCCACAAAAAGCCTATCCTGGGCTAGTGAGCTGAAGGCCCTGCCTCAGTCGGACCCTGTCTCAAAATAATATGCATCAGTCTTTTTTAACTGATAGCACTTATGGACCCTTAATTCTTCATTCTCCTCTATTCATAAGTCCCAGAGATATGCAGGGTACTCTTAGCCTAAGGCAAAACTGAATTCTAGGTGCAGTACTTTCTGTCCCTTCTGTCTTGGTGAGGTCAACTACAGTTCAACACTTACAGAGGATCTACCCTGTGGAACATGTTGTGTTAGAACCGCAGCCCACAGCAAGAACATTGTGAAGGAGTGGGCGGCAGAAGGAAACTCGCCTTACAGTGCACGCTCCTCCCAGAAGGGCACCTGGCACTTTTTCTCCTCCCGACCTCATCACGTATCCCACCCACGAAGTCCAAAGTCTCTTCACCACGAGGCTAACTCCAAGATGCAGGGCGAAGTCCTATCTAGAAGCCTGTGCTAATGTTTCGCTTAACATTCTAGTGCATCTCAAAATTAAAATGCTGATATTTTTCTATTTCCCAAAATGAGTGCCAAAATATCTGTATTAGTTTTGAACATTAAAATCAACATTTTAAAAAAATCAATATTTAGGGTGTTCAGTACTTAAAATACTTCCTATCTTTAGCTCCTTTAGTGATTTTCTCAAAAATGTGTAAGACTTAACTTACTATACCTTCCTTGTACAAAATTTAACAAGCCTTCTCACTGATTTATTCTGCCAATCCCTGGCATATATGTGCTTAAAGTAAAAAAAAAAAAAAAAAAAAAAATTACATTTAAAAAAATAAGTATTCTTTAGTTCAATAGTGCATTTACTCTTATCCTTATAGCACCACATATACATTTTCTCGTGCTGTTATGTTATCTGGTTGTTACAGTATCTTTTGTACAACTGTCTTGGTATAGATGCTATCTTAAGTATCAGGATATACACACTGACGTAATGGAATGAAATTTTAGTGGTTTAACTTCTACATTGCTATTTTCACAGCTGAACATCTGGTAATAAATCCTTAAATTCCTCTTTAGTACCTTTTTAACACAAGTGAATATTTTACAAAATATTTGTATTAATTGGCTCTGTTCTGCTTATTTAAAAAGTGAAATCTGTAAATTTTTATACACGAAGCCATACATTTACTAAAACTTAATAGTATGATTCAGCATACTGGGGCCCTCATATTTAAATGGAACATCAAATGTATGTGACAACTGAAGCAGCTATACTTTCCTGGTAAGCATTTCAATTTAATAACTGATCATCAGTCTATGTCACATATCACAAAGAAGTCTTCAGGGCACACAGTAATATACAATAGTGAGTAAAATGTCTTTTCTTAACAGTATTTTCAGGAAAATTTAAGTTTCCAAATAATGACCCAATGAGAGTTAAGGAAACGAGAAATGAAGTAAAAAAGGGGTAATAATGGTTTCATTTTATTCACATATAGTGACCATGAAAAGATTAACTCATTCAGAAAAAATTTTGACTATTCTAACATCCTTTCTCATTTCTCACCAATAAATTCCCACCACAAAGCAGAAGTCATATAGCAAGTGGAGCATATTAGGAACTTTCAAAATATGGCATATGAGTAATTTCACACGCAGGTTACCTATTAATATGTTACATATTAGCAGATTTATGTTAGCTTGTGGGCAATCTGACAATATTCCAGTCAAAAGCCTTGAGATATTTTTAAGTTGACATTTTTTCTCAAGATATTTTTAAACCTGCTAAGGGAGATTCTGGAATTTTAACGTCTTTACAAAGTAGTATCTTACATATTTCATTTTAAATCCATGTGGAATTTATATCCGAAGCAAAACATTATTTTTAAAATCTCCATCTGATGCATCATGTAAATTACTTGCTCTGAGTTTATGCAGATTACTCATTAAGAAAAGAATAACAGATTTTTAGAGGTATACAGCAAAATCTAAATTAACTTTTTACCTTAACATTTAGTTTTAAATTGTTTTGTTAAGAGAAACATGTTAAACACTGGTAGCAAAACTAAGCACTCAATTGGACTATACATTCTAGCTTCCAAAGGATTGACTTCTGAGCTTGCTAGTCTAAATGTCTAGTGACAGCATGTTTTATTCATCAGCATGTATCCAGCACCTGGTAATACATGGCACGGAGCAGGCATTTAATAAGTATTTTTAAGTGACAACAAAAATTTCACCAGCAAGTGAAAAAACTTGGGATAAATGCATTTCATTATTCAGCAATACAATTTTTGTTAAAAATTACAGGGTTATTATAAGTAGATCCAAGAATAAAAATTTATTCTAAGACTAAAGAAATTCTTATAATGGGGAAGAAAGAAAAGCCATCAAATTTTATCCCACAAAGTTATTATGTAAAATTTGAAATATTTAGATAACTGAAACCCATAATACTGAATAAAGCAATTCCAAAATTACTATTTTACATATTAAGAGAATTCATTCTCTGTATGACAATATTCCACTTCATAAAAATACTTTTTAAAGATTTTTGCAAATTCCTAAGAAACCATGTCATATCAACTCATTCCTTCTAGTCCCTGAATCCATGTTAAGAGGCCTTTAAAGACAAGAGAGACCTACTGGACTCAATCATCTTTTTAGAAAGATTGTCTGAACGAACTGTCTCAGTATATCTGAAATGGCATCATGACTTTTTCCCAACAGAGGTGTTTTACCTGGCATTATTGAAGTTGATAAAGAAAAATGAAAATATTCATCTACAAATAATTTCAAAAATTACTGAAATTTTTAAATCAATAAATATCACATCATGTTTTGAGATTAGAAAATTCTTAAGCACATATAAAAACCACATTTAACCTACTTCAATTAGGTCAATGTCAGGATTTATCAAAATTCTCTATCAAAATTTTTAAAAATTTTTACTTTCAGGTGCTATGAAAATAAGCACTGAAATTATAATGTGACCAACTGCACAAAGAAAAAAAAAGGAAGGAAAAAACCACCTGTACAGTTAATATTGCAAATCCTAAATATTTAATCCTTTATTTAAACCTGTTTCTAAATTAAAAAGATACACACGTTTGGTTACCAATTGTAAATAATAATAAAAAAAAATTCACTGGTATCAATTCTAATCCGTTTAGTCCATCTACTTCTTCCTACCATCATCATCTTTTCTCTGTGAGAACCCAACAGAAGAATAATAGCAATTTCATTTTCTCTGTCAGCTTTGAGCCCAAGTCAACTAGTCTCAATAATGGCCAAAAAAAAAAAAAAAAACGAAGCAGCTTTATGGCTGGTAATCCGTTTCTGCAATAAAAATATTTTTTCAGTAATTGAAACTTGTCCTCTGAGGAAATCCTTTACTGTTCTAGAAGCACAGTTCGAAGCTCATCTTCTTTATTAATCATCATTGAAGCAATAGCCCCATCATTAAATTCAAAAGAAGTTCCTCCATCCACAACCATGCAAGCGTCCCAACAACGAGAACGAACACAAACCCTAGGCAGAAAGATATTTCATTAAATATTAAGTTTTCTCAATCTTAACAACATAGCAACTGAATTTTCTTTTTTTTTTTTTTTTTTTTGGCGGAACTGGGGATTGAACTCAGGCCCTTACACTTGCCAGGGAAGCGCTTATTCCACTGAGCCATCTCCCCAGCCCCTGAATTTTCATCTGAGCTAGAAAATTATTTGGCCTTAATTTCAAAAGCCAAATAACAAAAAATTCATGCTGCTTAACAATATGGAACATTGTCACAGTCTCACTTGTACGTGTTCAAAACAGAACCATTCACTCAAATATTTCAGTGAACAGGTTCAGAAATGATAAAATTCAAAGGTTGTTTTCATATGGCTGAATACTTTAAGACTTGAGCAAGCATTAATCATGCAAAGCTCTTACATAAAGGAAAACATATATGGAAGAGGCACAGATTATTAATGGACACGAATTATTAATGAACACACATTATCCAAACCAGGACTCACTGCCCTCTCCCTTCTGCTTACCCCTGCGCCCTCCCCTTCCCTAGCACTACCTGCCATCACTTTAGTGTAACATCTTTGTCTGTTCTTGAACTTCATGTGAGTGGTATTTTAGCCCTTCCCGTATGTGTATCGTGTCTTCTTCCACACTGTTCTTTTCCATTTCCCAGAGGAATTTAAGCTCAAGTACCTTTACATATGCTTACTGGATATCCCCCTTTTGTGAAAATCCTGTGACAAGGCCATTCTTCTGTTGGACTGGTTAATGATTCACAGGAATTTTTGTTTCCAAGTTGAGAAGCCCTTTTCTGAAATGCTTGGCACCATAAATGTGTGGGATTTCAGATTGTTTTTCAGATTTTAGACTATTTACATACAAATAATGAGAGATGTCGGGGAATGGACAAACTAAACACAAATGCACCTAAGATTCATATGCACGTTGTATAAATAACCTGAATATAATTTTTATAATACTCCTAGTGTACCTACATTGTGACTGTGACCTAACACGGGATGCCAGGTGTGGAATTTGCTACTTGTAGCATCATTGCTATTTCACAAAGTTTTGGATATCAAAAACTTACAATTTCAGATTTCCAGATTAGGGATACTCCGCCTGCACTAGATATTCAGCTGTGAACCCATGCTGCATAAAGGTCTGGCAGACATCTTTCTCTCTGTAGTATGCCTTTTTATATTTTACTACTGCAAGTTTTCAATCCTAACATGATTCAAATGATTGATCTTTTGCTGGTCAAGTACTTTGTAGGACATGTTTAAGAAACTTTTTCAGTGGCTAAAGTACAAAACTATTACCAAAAATTCAAGCAGAAAGTACGTATCTTTGAAGGAATCTTTCTAGTCTTACCCAAACTGAATGCAGATTTAAACAAAATGAACTCTCAAATGAGTATGTAAAAATGAACACAGGTTTCTCTGTTACATCTTACCTGGAAACAAATCAAATACATACTAATATATATACTAAAGGTGGTATTTTATAATTAAACTGGCCTTTGTTTCCTGTGAGATAACATTTTCTCATAACTATATTTTCTTGTTTGAAAAATTAGGCCAAATTTTATAAAATAAATTACATTCTCTTGGGAATATCATCACCCTCAAAAAAAAAAGCAAATGTAACAGATGGGGAATTCAAATTTAGGAAAACGCTAACAAAAATTAATCTTACTCTGACTTAGATTTTATACAAATATTTACCTTGCTTCTATTTCACGGCTTACTAAAAAAATTTTCTTTCAAATCAGTTCTTTTAAATGATGAGTTTGACCTTACTACATCTTGACACATTTTAAAAAAGCCAACAAATCAAAATCAAGCAATTAAGTAACTGCCTCTTTCCATTAATATTTTAGTTTCTCTGAGTTCACAGTTTGAATGTATATTAGCCAGGATAACATAATTCATTTGTTTCATAGTGTTAAGGTTTGTGTGTCCCTCCAAAGCCTCTTGCAGTCTTGGGGTGGCTTCTGGAGTTTGTGATTGATTGCTGTGGGTATGGATGCTGCGCTTGCCCTGGGGCAGGTAGTTTGCATTACAATGTAAGGTGGGAAGAGAAGTTAGCTGCTTGAGCTGCTGCTACCTCTCCCTAGTGCTCTTGCTCTTTGCTGCAGCCATGAAAGGTTGCTCTCTACCATGTGCTGCTCTGCCTCGGAGCCAGCTGAGTGTGGACTGAAACCTCCAGTATCTGTGAGCTAAATAAACCTTTCCTTCCTTCATTTTAAGTGTCAGGTATTTGTCCCAGTAACAAGAGAAAAGTAACTAAGACACACAGAATTTTTCCTACCACATAAAATATAATCAAATTAGCACTCTTAAAAAAGTGGTTGTATAATGAATGCAAAGGACATAAATTGAAGTCAGGCCAAGAATGCTTACTTGGAGGAGAAACAACGCTGGCGGCTGCTGGAGAAAACTCGGTTTGCTATTGGTTCTCGGATACTGAAAAGTATTTTTGGTTCTTCTGGACTGTACAGCAGTGATTCATTATATTCATTTGTTACTATGAAGAAAAAGTATTAGCATATTCAATAGAGGATGGTCATTTTTGAGAAGTGCAAAACAATAGGTGCTGTCCCTAGCTTAAAAGTCTAAGGAATTCGTTTGGAATTCAACACATACTTCATCAAAAAAAAAAAAGCAAAAAGCCCTAGAAATGACTATTAGCTTCTACAAATGACCCACAAAACATGCAGCATCCACAATGCAGTGGAAATAAGTATAATATAACACAAAAGTATTAAAATTAGAACATATTTCCCTGCTAATTCTTTCCAGAATACTATGCCATACAGTTTTGTTAAGTTAACAGTCTCCATATAAGTCTCAAACAATATTAGGCAAGGATGAAACTGTCAAGACTCAAGATATTTTTAGAAATCTTTGGGACCTGCCTCTTCTCAAACCAAGAGGCACACGCAGAACACAATATAAGTCAGGTGTGGTGAAATGCCCTTGTGAACTCAGCTACACAGAATTCTGAGGCAGAAGAATCACTGGAACCTTCAAGTCTGGGACCAACCTAGCTTACTCTGAGGAGAACATGGTGCCTCAAAAGAAGGGGAGGGCGGGAAGGGGGGGAGAAGAAAGAGGAAGTAGGAAGGGAAAGAAATGAAACCGAAGAAATTAGGCTTGAAAGAAAGTTCAGTTGGTCATTATATTTAAAAACTTGTAAGACTATCAGATCATCTACTTTATTGATGAAAGTATCATTTGAATTACTAGTGCTCAACTTACAATTTTCATCTCCACAAACCCATTACCTAAAAATGTTGTAGGTTGAAAATATACTTCACTTATGAGACATCAGTTTCACAGAACATTACAGTATGTACTGTTCACTGCCACCAGACAGGATCATTGTACAGCACAATAAGGTCTATTACCAGCTCAGGAAACAAGCCTCAAAATTCAAAGCATAGTTTCTACTGAATGCATATCATGCACTATCATGAAGCTGAAAAACCACATTTGGTTCTGACATACCTCAGTCTCTAGGATATGTATTTGCCCATATGTAAGTGTATGTCCATCCATTTTTCTATCTATCTAATTTTCAGGTTTGTATTTTTGATTACCACATAGTCGCACATAATTATAAGTTACAATGTGGTAATTTGATTCACATATACATTAGAGTGATCAGCTCAAGGTTAATCAGAATATACTTCGCCTTAAATTTTTATGACTAGTTTCCTTAGTTCAATTAAGAGAAAGTTTTGGGCTATTATCTTTATTTCTTCTTTGTAATAGAATCTTTTTATCTAAGGGCCAGTGAGATAACTCAGCGGACTAAGTGCCTGCCTAGGCAAGCACAACAATGGGGGTTCAATCCCCTGGGCATGCGGAGGCAACCACCAAGTCCAGGCATGGTGGCGCACGCCTGTATTCCAGTGCTGTGGAGGCTGAAAACAGGAGGATCACTACGAGTCTGAGCTGTGTAGTGAGACCGTATACTAAATACATTTAAAAAAAAAAAAAAAAAAGAATCTTTTTGTCTATGTCTTGTGCTCTTCTGGCTATTTTGAAAGTAATGGTACACAGTGTATTGCCTATTACTATTCTGCTACAAATTTTTAAAATTTTTTCATAAAATAAAATTTTAAAAAACCTCTACCATGTCTTTACAATTATGGTCTATGTTAAACTCCATAATTGAGTTAATTATTATACTCTATTGCCTAATGTTGCTTTCTTTGATATAGATTTAATACTAATACACATGAGTAAAATAATCTTTTTGGTCTCAAATGGAAAGAACAGAATCTTTTAGGGAGCTGAAACCATGAAAAGCAAAACCACGGGTAAGGGTGTAACCAGCGTGGTGGTACATGGAATTCAGATACACATTTTCTATTTCCAAGACCCTGGCTTTTCTACACCTCCCTACTCCCCAGGATGTGCTTATGGTTATGTATGATGATTTGGCATAATTTTTTATAATTCATGTACAATATAAATCTAGCATTAATCTTCACACTATTGAGTTACATTTAAAGGTTATTTTATTAAACACATGCTTGATTCTAAAAAAGTACTTTGTTAATTAGACAACGACACTACCACTTGCAAAATTTATACAAAACTAAATTAAACAGTTAATGATTAATATCATTTGTTACTGACCTTTTTCTACCAATTCTTTGTTCAATGGAAGATTTAAATTTCCTTGTCGTTTTGCTGTTGAAAAAGGAATGGCAAATGTGTCATTAAATATTTTATATAATAGCTAATATATAACAACATATATACATTATATAATATCATGTTACAGCATATAATAGTTATTTTGGTACTCACCAATATTTAAAACATCTTCTACAGCCTGAGTTGCAACCCTGTTAATATTGAAAGACCTAAAAACAAAAACCACATAATTATTTCTTTTTTAATTCTAAAAATATGCTAAAAATAAAAGATTTACCTGATATGTAAAAACTTTTTAGAAATTATCAAGACAAGTTATAAGTGAACAGCTAAAAACTGATAAATAATGCATTGAAATGCCTACGGGGCAGCAAGTATTTTTACTAGTAGGAATACAGAAATTGCAATAGCAAAGTAATGTATGTACTATCAAAATTTAAAACAAACACATTGCATGCTAACAACTTATCCTAAGATACATTCCTACATAAATGTACAAAGATACACACAAAAACTGCACAGCAAATACACAGCCATAGGAAGCTGGTTAAATATATTACTCATTATGATGCTAAAAGAATCCAAGTATACATTATTATATAGAAGATTATCAAATACTAATTTTTGAAAGGTATTATGTATGTAAAATGAAAGATGCTAGCTTCTCACTGTGCAGTGAAACAGTAAGTGTTTACTCCCTATACTCTCCAATCTTATGCTTTCACCTTTATACAAATGTGAAAATACTTTGGACATTTTATGACAAGATGTAGATACACAAATTATTACATTAAGAATTTAAAAGCATTCATGTATCAAACACTTTTGCTCAAAGAAATAACCCCAAGATCTGGTCCTTGCTCCCCTTCTTTCACCATCATCTACCCTCTGACCAAACTCATTCCAACTTCAGTACCTCTGCTCAGACTCACTACATGGTACGAAGCAAAGTACTGTTAAGTTTCTGGACTTCTTATTCAGTAAGGTGTCTCAGTAGTATCACGGTTCCACACACTACAAAGCCAAAGGCACTAAGATACTACCTGGCTCAGGACAAGGGCTCAACAGTGAAGAAAAAAAATATCAAAAAGATAGGAAGCTTTATGAGTCATATGCTAGTTCTAAAGAACATCCACATTTTTAATGTAGAATGCTTAGGAACATTCTTTATTTTAAAATCTAAAATTCATAAAAACAAATTATGATTATTAGAGTTCTAATGAACTAAAATAAACATCAAAAGATTTAGTGACTAATATCTCTTCGTAGTTAACACATAATTCTTCAAGAACTTGCTATAATGTTTCAAAATGTTGAATTATTAGGAATACTACAAACCAACTATAAATACATTCTCTGAATTGGGAGTTATATTAACATTACTTTTCTATGCTGTAACCAGGACTGTAGCCAATTCAGTCTATCTTTAAAAGGGAGCAATAGGTTATGTTCACCATCAAAGACATACTAAAATGCGCAGCAGCCGGGGTTCAATCCCGTGTGCTGTGCCGGCCCCGCCCCTTGGGGCATGCTGAGACTGAGTGTGGTAGTGCACTCCGTTAATACCCAGTATCACAAAACAGAACAAAACATGACACACGAATTAACCCTTACTCCTGACCTTAAGTCTGAGGGGGCAGAATGTATGTAGGAGGAGGACTGGGAGCAGCCTTAAGAAGAAATTAATTGAAATGTGCGATTCCGTTTCGTAGCACTCCTCCAAGTATATGGGGTAAACCACTTAGCACACTGGCCAGAAGACAGAGGACAATTCAGACATCTGCTCCTCAATACAACTCCTGTACCTGAACCCAGTAAAACTAGTTTTGGAAAAACAAAGAGAGAATTTCTCCAGGCCCTTCTGTTTTCCCTGGACATTGAGTTAGGCTTTACTGTCTAGTCCGTATAATCGTATGAGTTCCAGCTAAAGGAATCAGAGTGGACATGACGGGCAGCACTTCCAAGCCTGGCTCAGCAGCCTCCCAGGGGGCCCTCCAGAGTCTTTTTCTGTGGCTTGACATACACGAACAGTGTGGCCTCAGGAGCCATGCTGAGAAGACAGCAGAGCCAGGAACAGGAGGGTGGCTCCCTGAGTAGGCACTTAAAGGAAAGCCACCTACCAATTACCCACTCTGCACTTCATGAGAACAGAAATAAGCTTCTACTATGTTGAGCCTGCCATTATGTTACAATAACTATCTTACCCTGAGTCACACATTTCTATGTTTCTATATTCAAAGTAGACACTGACATGGTCACATTAAAAAAAAAAAAAAAAAAAAAAAAAAAACCTTTCATTTCTCAAAAAAGAAAAAAAGGGGCCAGGAGACAGCTAAGAAGAATAAGTGCTTGCCTGGCAAATGCAAGGTCCTGAGTTCAATCCCCAGTACCTCAAAAACAAAACAAAACAGAACAGAACAGAACAGAACAGAACAGAACAGAACAGAACAGAACAGAACAGAAAGACTATCCTAACTTTTTCTTTCAGGGACTCCTCAAAGCTTTACAATTTATAAAGTTAAGTCTCTCATTTATATCCTGACCTCACCAATTATCAGCCAACAGCTATACAGGCTAGTCAGTTAACTTAAGAGAATCTATACTCTGTTAAGGCAAATAAAAATCACCCACCTCCTGAGTATCTGTGGTAATGTAAATTTAAATTTAAATTTAAATAATGTAATCACATGGAACCAAAAGAGGATTCAGAAGTGCTATGTGATAAAATTATGATACACAGAAATGCATGGATGGCCCTCAAGTCCCTCTTGGTCCTTAGGTTCTTTTTTCTCTGCATTTTCCAAAGAAGAAACAACAAAAGATCTACCTCACCAAAAAATTTCAACAATAATGGGAAGGAAGGACAGAGTGACAGAAGTGGCCTCAGGGCAAAGAGCTTAAGGACTGGATGCAGAACTCTACAGTAAGTACAGGCATTAATAAGAGACCTAACACAGGAAAGGATGAAATTCTACCCTCAGCCTTACTTATTCAAAGGCACTGTGTAACCATGGTTACAACATGTATTTCAGTGCAAAGGGCCTGAGTTCAATCCCCAGTATGGGGGGTGGGGGATGTTGCTAACAGAGTTTGTTAGGCTTTATGTTATCACTGAAAATCTGACAACTGAAACTATGGAAATTACACACACACAGTTTGAAGGAAAAAGTTGAAGTCTAAGTATATACGACAAAAGTGCTATTTCACTAAAAGTACTGAGTTCATCTTGACAGTTTTTCAGTTCAGTAACACTGCTACGATTGGAGCATATTCCCTAAAGCTCATGTGTCAGACAAACCCCAATGCAACAGCGCTGAGGGGGAAACTATGAGGAGACTGGGTCACACTTAGTGTATTACACACTCATTAACGGAGGGTGGGCTCCTGACAGCAGGCCAAGCTCTGCCCTCTCTTGCATCTTCCACAATTGATACTGCAACAAGAAGCCCCTCACTAGATGCTGGCACTGTGATCACAGATTTCCCAGCTACTTGTGAGATGTAAGTCTCTGTCTTTATAAAGTACCCATTCAGTGGTACTGTTACAATCAGAAACAGACTAAGACAACAGTGATCCAACTTTCAAGTGTGTGAATTCTACAGATGTCTCAGAACTCTTCCTTCCCATTCAAAAGCTGACTTTCCCTTGTGAGGCAGCACAAGTGACAGTGATGTGAAAAATGCCTCAAGCACACTGGGCTCCCATCCAAGTTCTGACACCAGTTGTGGGACTTGGCTTAAATTATTATCCTTATTAAGCTTCAGGGTCTCCACGTCACACACACTATCCTTGAGATTAAATCCAGAGGCTTGCACTGAGCTGCACCCCTCCTGCCTACTCTGTCTGACATAAGATCTCACTTTGTGGCTAAACTGCTCAAACTGGGCTCAAATTTGCAATTTTGCTGTCTCATCCCTGACAGTTGGGATTACAGGCTTATGCCATCAGTCCCAGATAACTTCAATTTCTTTCTTATAAAGAAGGATACTACTATATCTTTTCAGGAATTTTGTAAGAGTCAATAAAAAGTACACATAGCACAATGCAGAGTAGCAAGAACTAAGTAACTTACAGGACACAAAATAGAAACTTATAGAATCTTAGAAGTTCGGAAGATAAAGTAATATTGCACCTATTCCGTGTCTCTCATCTTCCAGATGAGGAAACTTCATACAGGTTTTCAAAACCAGGCAGTGGGTTAGCCAGCTCTCCTAACTCCTTTTCAGTTATACAATTGTGCCATTTCAATGGATGAGGAGAGTGGGGAAAGACAAGAGAAATAACTTCTGCAAATTGTTCTGGGAACAATTTCTAATTCCCATTCTAGTTTTCAATAGGTAGCATACTGTATTCCATTAAAAAAAATGCTACCATGATAAATTAAAGCTGTTAACTGTAAAGTTTTTAATTTAACCTGAGATGGTTATAAAATAATTTTATAGCATATTAGATGGTTAAATTTTTTATATAATTATTGGAAAAAGTCATTTGAGAAAATTGCAACTTTAACAAAATCCAGAAATGGGCATCCAAGATGAACACGCACTTCTCA